TTGGCTTATTAGTTTACAGTGCGCTTACCTCCTGTTCTAAATTCATTCAAAGGGCCCATCTATATCTTGTCAAGAACAAAGACCAGGGTGTCTTTTTTTTTACTTATTTTGAGAGAGAGAGAGAGAGTGTGTGTGTGTGCATGGGAAGGGATAGAGAGAGAGGGAGAGAGAGAATCCCAAGCAGGCTCCACACTGGCAGCCCAATGAGGACTCGAACTCGGAACGGTGAGATCATGACCCCAGCCAAAACCAAGAGTTGGACGCTTAACCGACTGAGCCACCCAAGCACCCTAAGACCAAGGCCTCTTAAATGCCTACAGGAATGACATCTTGGGGCTTCCCAAGGGCAGAAATCAAAGGGAGACACGCTGAAAAGGACAGGACAGCGCATGGGTCTGTTTGGAACAGCACCGGATCGCGGGCACAATGATGGATTATTAAGTAAGAACCTAGAGACAACACAGCATTTGAAGGAATGGGAGAGAGTGATAAATGGGGCCATGAATAATTGAAGATGTTTTTCCCTTTCCATATTAACACCCTCCAGCTTCTTGGAACCTCAGAGCTCCAAGTGCCTTTACTTAAATTGCTGTGGCCCACAGTTCTCTGCTCATCAACAGCCCTTCAGTCCCTATCTGGATCTTGTTCCAGGGGCAAGAGCACCGCCTGGGCGATGACCCATGACCAGTCCAGGTCCCACCGTGGTTCTCAACTTTGGCCGCACAGTACAATCCCCTGGGGAGCTTTTAAAACACCCCAGTGCCTCGGGGCCCCTGGGTGGCTCAGTCGGCTGGGCATCTGACTTTGCCTCAAGTTGCGATCTCATGGTTTGTGAGTTTGAACCCTGCATTGGGCTCCGTGCTGCGGGCTCGGAGCCTGGAGCCTGCTTCAGATTCTGTGTCTCCCCCTCTCTCTGCCCCTCCCCAACTCGCGATCTGTCTCTTTCTGTCTCAACTATAAATAAACATTAAAAAAATAAGTAAATAAAACAGTCCAGTGCCTGGACCCCACCCCACACCCGTAAAATCAGAGTATCTGGGAGTGGAGTTCAGGTACTAACATTTGAAAATCAATCAATCAATCAATCAAGCTCCTCAGGTGAATGTACTGTTCAGGGGGGGCTGAAAATCTCGGGTCTAAGCCGATCACAAGGAGCCCCCTCCTTTTCCCCAATCAATGGGCTAGTGCCGGTCATGTGACCAAGCGCTAGCCAGTGAGAGGTCAAAGGAGGTCGGCTGGGGGTGGGGGTTCTGGGAAGGTTTTATAACCAGTTTGAAGGAGAGACAGGCAAGGGAAAACTCCTCCACCCCTTCCTTACCCGCTAACCAGCTTCCTTTGTGCATTTTAACAACGCTGCAGCGTCCTTGTGTGAGGAAGTGATGCTCACTGCCGAGGCTATGATCTTGTAGCCTTATCCTTGGGAGGATAAGCTGGTAAGTGAAAGCCGAGAAGGTGGAAAAGATGGAAGAGTCCTTGGGGACTCGGGTTGATGGCGCTCTGGTCCCCACCCAGCCCGGAAAAAAAGTGCACCCCCTCCCTCCCTGCCAGATCCTGGCTGTCCGGGATGGACCATCCAGAAGGTACTCGGGTCAACTGACGCGGAGCACCCTCCCCCCTTCACTGCTGAGCTAGGGGTGTCACCAGCTAGACCCCAATGCCTGACTTTTACTGCCACCTGCATGTACTCACTGACCTTTGTTCCACATTTTCCCTTAAACTCTTCTTTCCAGCTTCTCTCTTAGGCAAATGGGAACCAAAACCACCCTGACCAGTTTGAGCCTAACCCCTCCCCACTCGCACCTGTGGACCCCGGAGTGACCTCTAAAATGACCTACAACTATCAGTACCTCATTGTAATATAAAGTCTCCGCCCAAGGAGGCGCATAAGCCTCACTGACATAACATACAGGGCATGGATACGCATGTTTCCTTAAGGCGCATGCGAAGCCGCGCACAGCGACACCCGCCCCCCCCAAACAAGCTCCCCCATCTAAATATTCGTCCTGACCCTTGGGGAGTCATGGCTTTGGAAGTTATTCCCGTGCTGTCCTTACTTGATGCAAATAAAGTTCCCCTTGTGCAACAACTCCACCCGGTGTGTTTGCGACTCAGCAAGGAGCAAACCCCCCTTGGTTCTTGGTCGGGTCACAGGGCACGCGATGATGTCCCATGTGAAGGACAGCCAGGGGGAAGGTGAATAGGTTCCGTGGGCAGCCCAGGGACGTTTTATGGATGTGTCCAGTGGCTGGAACTCACTAACAATAAAGCTAATTGTGTCTCCCACTCCAGCCTGGCCGGGGTGCCAAAGGTACCACCAGGGGAAGCCAAGGGGCCCAGAGAAGGAGAGATTCTGAGCTCTGGGGTCTAACACCAAGGCTACCCCACCCTCCCCAGCCCTGGTGTGACTTTGGGCAGGTCACCTGGCTTCTCTGAGTCCCGGATTCGTCATCTGTAAAACTGATGATAGACCAAAGTAATGGCACGTGTACAGTGCTTAGCTCCATGCATGTGTCCCTAGAGCAGGGCGTGACAGGTTTTTGGAAAGTCCTGGCCAGCGACGTTACCTTTCTAGGAAACAGGAATACGTGCATTTTAACAAATCCACTGGTTCGTTGGGGGTGACATGGTAGCGGCCGATAATTTCGGCAGAAGTATGGGAAGGAGGGCTCAGTCACTAACGTACGCAAGAGCCTAAGGCTTGCTCCCAAATGTCCCTGCAAAGGGAGCCTCGTTGGCCTTCCAAACAGCAGCACCAGCATCTGCTCCATAATCACGGTTACCAACACAGATTCTAACTTCTTAGAGGGTGAAGATTATACACTCTGTCCTCCTCTCTGTTCTCTTTCTTACCTTGCCCCAGCCAGAGCTGAATAACTGATCGTAAAAATGAAAACCATAAAGGTGTCTGGGAGATAGTTCTTTTCTTTTTTAAAGTTTTTTTTTGTTTTTTTTCAACGTTTATTTATTTTTGGGACAGAGAGAGACAGAGCATGAACGGGGGAGGGGCAGAGAGAGAGGGAGACACAGAATCGGAAACAGGCTCCAGGCTCCGAGCCGTCAGCCCAGAGCCCGACGCGGGGCTCGAACTCCCGGACCGCGAGATCGTGACCTGGCTGAAGTCGGACGCTTAACCGACTGCGCCACCCAGGCGCCCCTCTTTTCTTTTTTAACGTTTATTTATTTTGAGAGAGAGAGAAAGAGAGCATGTGAGCCAGGAAGGGACAGGGAGAGAAAGCAAGGGAGAGACAAAGAGAGAAAGAGAATCCCAAGCAGGCCCTGAGCTGTCAGCACAGAGCCCAATGTGGGGCTCGAACCCACAAACTGTGCGACCATAACCTGAGCCATCACTTAAAAGACTGAGCCACCCGGGCACCCCCCCCCCACCTTCTTAAAGTCATAAAATGCTGCAGAATTCGTCCTGGAGAGGCTGTCTTCCCTCAGGCCTGTGAGAGAGGGTGAGGGGCTGGTTCATTACTTACATCTGCAAAAACAGGATTAGCAGATGAAAGGATGTTTTTGTTAAGACGTGACAAGTCACACTGTGCCTTACCTTCCTCTGCTCTGGAAATCAGGAAAGAACACAGACTTCCTAGCAATTACAGAAACTGACCCAGAAAACCACTTGATTGCTGGGAGCAAAATCGCTCTGCAACCCTGGTCTATTAAAGAACAACAAAATCCGTCTTTATTAACATCTTCCACTTTGTCCTCAGAGCTTCATCCCAGGGGAATACTGAATTACACCATAAAATAATGGAAACTTAAGTCACTTCCGCCCTCGAGGCTTGGCTTTTCCTCCTCCTCCAGACTGCACAGTGCAGAAGGCTGCACCCTCCCAAGGCACAGAGTCGCACTCAGTTTGGGGAAACACGTTCCCAAGCCACTAACTAGACCCCTAAGGTCAGCATCATGCAGAACAAACTCTTCCCTCAGCCCAACCATGTACGGACACTGAACACATTTTGAGGTCATTTATGACCCATCTTAGCGTCTTACGACACATGCTTTATAGAGAAAGAACAAAACATCGAGGGTGGGGGCTGTCTTTTCACAGCCAAAGGTGCTACTGTCCCTCTAAAGGTTCCATCTCTCAAAGGGATGCGGCAGAATGCGGGAAGCCCGGCGCTAAGGTCTCGTGGGCGCTAGAGGAAGCTGACCAGGCAGCTTTTGTGACCTGATGTGAATGGGATGTGGTCAAATATTCTGCAAACGCCAGCCTTTGGGGGGCGGGGGGAAGGAAAATGCTACAGGGGCCAGGAGAAAGCAGAGTCCATTCTCTGCGACCATACCAGACCCTGAGACACACACACGTGCAAAAACCGTTTCAAGAGAGGCCTTTGTGCACCTGTATGCTTGGTAACTTAGAAGGAAAGCCCTGGAGCTGAGCATTAGAGAGAGACAGAGAAGAAGTATGAAACAGATTAGGGGTAGGGAGGAGAGGAGCCCACAACTGTGCACCAAACCCGGCTTTGGGCTTTCTCCGTGTTGCCAAGTTTCCCCACAGGACAGAGCGGTGTCAAGGTTAAAAAACAACAACGACAACAAAAAAACCAGCTTCAAATAGTCCCCGAAATCCGATACTTTTCATGTCAATTTTCAGTCTCAAGTTCCATTATGACTGTTTCAAACCTTTGCTCTCTTCAGACCTCTTCCCTCCTCTCCCTCTCTTCCCCCTCCCTCTCCTGCCCCATGCTCAACAGGTGCTCAACAGGTGACCGACCCCTCCTACTTCATAGAGGGGGACCTATGTTCCGCCTCAGCCAAACTTAACCCCCTCCTTCTCGTCGCAGGGCCCTCCTCGGAGGGGGCAAGTGGCTAAGCTGGAGATCCCGACACTCTCTTCCAAATTCTACCAGCAGCGCTTTCCCACCCGCTCGAATCTATTCAGACAGGGATCTGGGATGGCACCCCCCCCCCCCGCAGGCTGGTCTGAGCTCCCCAGAGGCCCTTCCCTAGCCCGAACCTTACCCGGATCCGTCCCGGGGGCGCACGACGGGGGGCTACGTGGCGCCGTCAGCCTCGGTCTCCAGCGGCTTCTCCTCATCCACAGGCGGCTCCAGGTCGTCGTCCTCTCCGCTGCGAGGATAGGCCAGCAGACGCATGGCTGGAGCGCAGGCCGCCTCCACCTGGCGCACCTGCTCTCGGCTCAGGCGCTCCCTCCAGGCGTGCACGGCCTCGCGGGCATCGCGCGCCGACAGGTGGAAGGGTCTGTCTGCGCCGTAGGCCGCGCCCCGCGTCATGTTGAGCGCGAAGGCTTCGAGGGCGGCGAGCGCGCGCAGCCCGGAGAAGCGCAGCAGGCGGCGCAGCTGGGTGCGCGGCTGCCGCACCAGGTCCTCGTAGCGCAGCCTCAGGTAGCGGCGCCGCAGCCAGGCGGGCGCTCCGCGCGCGAACAAGAGATCGCGCAGCCAGGCTTCGCAGATGACCTCGAGCGCGCCGGTCAGGAAGAAGTCGGCGCGCGGTGCGGCGGGCAGGGCGCGGGACTGGCCCCCGGGCCGAGCGCCCACGCCGTGCGCCAGCAGCACGCGGTGGAAGCGGTCGCCCCGCTGGCGGGTGCGCAGCACCTGGATGCTCTCGCGCAGCAGCCCCTGCCTGGACTTGAGGCGCGAGTTGTGCACGGCCCGTGGATCACGGAAAAGCTGCACCACCTTCAGGTTGAGGCCGGGGTCACGCAACAGAGGCACCAGCACACCCAGGTCGAGGAGGCGCACGTCCTTGATGACCACCACCGGATACTTGCGGCACTCGGCCTCCAGGGCGCGTAGAGCCACGGGCGGGCAGCTGCGCTCGCAGGCGGCATCTTCGACGAGGCCGACCTCGGCGCGGGCACGGGGCGCGCCGGGGCAAAGCGGCGGCGAGCAGATGACCTTGTTGGTCCGCCAGCGGAAGAGGGCGGCCGTGGTGAGATTGGCCGCGCCCGGGGCGCGCGCGGCGGGGTCCCCGGGCGGCGAATACAGCCGCAGCACCGAGAAGTCGCAGCGGAAGAGGGAGCGCAGCATGTCGCGCAGCGCGCCCTGCAGGCTCTCGGCGTCGCCCGGATACAGCGCCTGCCATAGATGCCACATGGGCTCGTACAAGTAGAAAACGTCCGGGTGCTGGTTAAAGAGCTCGCCCAAGAACGACGAGCCGGTGCGCCAGGTGGCATGCACGTAGATGTGCTGCTTCTCGCGAGACACGGCCTCCGCGACATCGCCGCTGAGGTTGCCCAGGGACTGGGGGGACGGGCCCGCGCCCCCCGAGGCAGCCGGCCGCCCCTCGGCGCCCTGCTCGCGCTCATCCGCCGCCGCCGCCTCCAAGCTCCACACTCCCAGGCTGTGCTGCAGGCCCGGGCAGTGCCCCGCGCCCTTGTCGCCGTCGCGGCCGCCGTCCAGTACGGAGGGGACGAGCAGCAGCACCAGCGTGTAGAGCACCAACAGCAGCGCAAACTTGCAGTACTCCCGGCGCCGCCGCCGCCGGCCCTTCATCGTTCACCGAGCCCCCCACCCTGCGAGCGGGTGGGGCGCCCGTCCTCTCCCCTTCCTCACAAATCCCGTCCCGAGCCCGCTCCTCCGGCCTCTTCGGGGCCCTCTGCGCCGGGAGGAGCGGAGCCACCCGCGCCCTGCATCCACAAGGGGAAACTTGGGAGGCGATGGTGCTGGTGTCGGCGCCCCTGCCCTCTCTCGGCTCAGCCGCTGGAGAGCCGCCTATTGGCTGGTTTGGCAGCCGCCCGCCCCGCCTTCGACCTCTCAGCTTCTCCCCGCCTCCTCACCCGCCCGGGATCGCCCAGGGCTCTGCCAGATCTGGGCGGGGTTGCTGCGGGGTGGGGACGGTGGTTGGGGCGCACCGAGCCAGACCCCACCTTTCCCAACTCCTCCGTAGTGAAGTCAAGTCTTCAGGAATCGACTTCAGGCAAGGGAGGGGCTCGTGTGTACAGAATGTACCCAGTGACGGGACGTGGACCCCACCCGGAGAACTCCACCGACTCTTCTGTTTTATGTCCCCCGCCTGGTCGTCTCAGTCGTAGGCAGACTCGCCCCCACACTATTTAGAGCGGAGCTCCTGGTCACTATCCACATCCAGCGTCCCCGTCGGCCCCCGGGGTGGGTGTTCCTGAGTTCTGGATGGGAAAACTTCTCCGCTAAGATAAAGATACGCAATTGCACGCTGCATGGTGGACCGGAGGAATTGGAGGCTGCGTATTCACGTAGCGCAATTAATTGGTCAGGAGGAGCCTTTGTGAAGTGTTGTGTTCCTTAGGGTTTTGCCCGCTGAGGGCTATGCACCTTTTCAGACACCAAAGATCAGTTTACTCATTTGTAAAATGCAGATGATTTTTAGCACCCCCGTACCTCCTGACCTTGTGAGATTGGGGGGGGGGGGGCACCTGTTACCGCTGCATAACCTAGCCCGTTCTGACACGTGAGCGAAAGACATTTACAGAACTAGAGTGGTAGGATGGTGGACTGTCTCGGGAGATCAGTGTTTAAAAGGACCCATAAGCAGGGATATGTACTCAAGGATGGATGAAAACGTGACAGGAAGTCCGAGAAGCAGATTGAAGTTCCTGAAATCTACAAGAGAACTAAAAAGGATAATTTTGCTCTGTTTCAGCAGGATAGTGAACACCCCCTTGGAGGAAGCTGTTGTAAGGTTAATGGAAGATAGAAAGCACATCTGCTCACCTCCATCTGGGGAAGGTATTCCAATTGGAAAAGTAAGAACATCGCCAAAGATCTCTGGTCTTTTTCATCACAGAAACTATTCCACCTCTCAAATCATTAGCTGAAGCATCCTGCTGTCTGCCCACACTTTGCCTCTCCCTAGCCATTCGTTCAAATCCTCTCTGTTCCCCAGCCTCATTGACCACTGCGTCCACCTTGGTCTCAGTTTTTCGTATTTGGCAAAGAGACCGCAGACCATTGTTTTAATAATGCTTCTGCCAATAACCTAAACTCCCTGACCTTCTGGCTTTTCATTACTCATTTGGCAACAGCTCCCCACCCCCACCCCGCCCCGTTTAAACCCTGCCTTGGGCTTTCTCTGTGCCTGCAAACACTGTTGCAAGAAGTTTCCCCACAGGGCAGATAAGTCATAATCGTCAACCTCAAGTGGTCCCTGAAATCCCATACTTTCCATGTCAATTCCCAGTCTTGAGTTCCATTATGACTATTTCAAACCTGGTCTGCTCACCTCAGACCTCTGATATCCCTCTTTGCACCCTCTCCCGTTTTCAACAAATGAACTTCCCTCCTACTACATAGAGAAAATGAAACTATTAGACAGTCTCTCACTTTCCACTATAGAGCCATATATCCACTTACCTCTGTCCCCATCTTCTCTTTGGTGGCAGGGATATTATTTTCCAATATTAAAGTATAACTTTTTCCTTCCCTATATTTTTACTTTTCCCTCCTCTCCTCTTTTAAGCAACTGGATGGCTCCCTGCTCACCTGAAGGGAGGGATGTGGCTGGGCAAAATGCAAAAAGTCTCTGGTATTGTTTTCCAAAAGCCTAAACTCCAGGCGCGGAGGGTGTGGTCGGTTTTTAAAATAGCCACAAATTTTTCCCCTCCTCTCACTGAGCCCTTTGGCAGTGTCTGTCTACACTGACTCTGGGGAAAGAGCAGAACTCTACTGGCTCTTCCCCTGGGTTGGGGGTGGGTGAAGGGAGAGAGAAGTCTCTGGACCCCACGGCAAAAAGCACCTGAGCTCTTCTTCCTGACACTGAGTCAGGGAAGAGCAGAACTCATGGAGTAGCTGTATGGTTCATCTCGACAGATGATCGGAGGCACTATCCCAAACGTTCCTGGGCCCCAGATGCAACTTGGAGGCAGCAGAAGGGTCGCAGAGACAGTGTAGGTGACATTTCAGAGGCACCTATGTGGACCAAGACCCAATGATCCTAAGACCCCAGGTCTATGGCACAACCGTAGGAGTAGGGAAACCCTAGGAATTACCAAGGCAAATTGCCCAGCAGAAAGCTCAATCAGAAATAAAGTTGTTTTCTGGGGTGCCTGGGTAGCTCAGTCGATTGGGTGTCTGACTTCAGCTCAGGTCACGATCTTGTGGTTGGTGGGTTCGAGCCCCACATTGGGCTTGCTGGCTGTCAGCACAGAGCCTGCTTCGGATCTTCTGTCCCCCCTCTCTCTGCCCCTTCGCCGCTTGTGCTATCTCAAAAATAAACATTTAAAAGATTTTTTTTTTTTTTAAGAAATAAAGTTGTTTTCTGGGAGATACCGGCTTCCAGTTATGGAATGAATAAGTCACGGGGATGAAAGGCACAGCGTGGGGAATATAGTCAATGGTATCGTAATGGCATTGTATGGTGACAGCTGGTAGTTACCCTTGTGGTGACCACAGCATAATGGATAGCACTGTCAGTCACTACGACATACACCTGAAACTAGTGTAACATTGTGTGTTACCTATAGTTCAATTGAAGAAAAGAAAAGGAAAGAAAAAGTGGTTTTCTGTAAAGTGACTTCTAGCACACCTAATTTAGTAGACCTGGAACCCCCCCCCCTTTTTTTTTCCTTTCTGGGACAATCGCATATGCCTAGTCCCTGCTCTCAATCACCACCTCTCTTTCCTGTTCGTTCAACCACATGCTCTCAACCAGAGTGTTCTCACCAACGAGAGAATTAAACAGTCAAATGTCTCTCTCTCTCCTTGGAAAAAAAGAAATCCCATTGATTCACACCCTCCCCTAGCACAACTGCCGCAGAGACTTATGGGAATCAGAAGGTGCCCTCACCAGGCAGATGAATTGCAAACATGGGACCGAGCACCTTGAAAAAGGTACCCCTTCCTTTGGCCCCAAGCCAAAGCTCAAATTCAGAGCTCGGCTGGCTTCCGGCCTGGATCTGCGTCCTTCAGCCCCGCCCTTGGCCACGCCCTTGGCCACGCCCTTAGCCGCGCCCCTGTCCTGCCTGCCGCGGGTTCCTCCACCTGAGCCTCACAGCCCAGCTTCTCGCTGGAGTTGTTTTGTACTTGTTCTCTCCGACTCATTCCTCAGCACACTCCAATCTGGATTCCGGCCCCGTATTGCTGCATAAACAGCTCATTCTAAGCTTCTCCGTGGCTTCCGCGTTATTGAATCCAGAGGACAATTTCATGTCCCATCTTGGTTGACCCTTCAATAAGTAGCATTTAACCCTTGACAGCTCCCGCCTCCAAACTGTCTTCTTTCCGTTTCTAGGACATCACGCTTGCCCAGTTCTCCTGTCGTTTCATAGCTGCACCTTCAGAGCAAAGCGTTTGGGAGACCAGGCTCTGTAAGACAGGGATGCTACTGCTAGTAGGGTTATTGCAGGGTTATTGGAAGAATTAAATTTTCCAAGACAGATAGATAGAAGGATACAACAGTGCGTGAGATGAAATAAAGCGTCAAGTATGCGTTCCAGTCTTTGTTGTCGCTGTTGTGGGAAGCTCATCCTCTTCCACCGGCCATTCGATGTTAGGATATTTGTATTCTTTCAGCTTCAGGGGCGCCTGGGTGGCTCAGTCCGTTAAGCGTCCGACTCTTGGTTTCCGTTCAGGTCATGGTCTCACGGTTGGTGGGTTCCATCCCCACGTTGGGCTCTGTGCTGACAGCCTGGAGTCTGCTTGGGATTCTCTCTCTCCCCTTATCTCTGCCCCTCCCCTGCTCTCTCTCTCTCTCTCTTTCTCTTTCTCTCAAAACAAATAAAATAAAAAAAATTATTTCAGCTTCAGCCCTAGGCCCTATCCCTTCTCACTCTATGGTGTCTTCAATAAGCCCAGACTGACATTTCCTGCCCAGACTTCTCCTTGGAGTTCCGAACTTAGAAATCCAGCTGCCTCCTTGCTGCCTCCTTGACGTTCCTTCTTGGTGGCCTCAAGGGCATTTCGAGGTTAATGTGTGAATGGGGGAATCATCTCTTCTATTATGCAATCGGAAATGTAGGAAGAAGTTGGTTTATAGCACCTGCCTCTTCGTCAGCCCCCTTCCCTCAAGGCAACCCATCACCCAGTCAGGTTGGTTTTACCTTCAATCCATTCATGTGTCTCCACTGCCAGTACTAACACCCTAGCCCAGGTGAGTCTCTACCAACTGCCTAGCCTGTCTCTGTGTCCACTCTGCCTTCCTCTGATTTGGGGTCTTAAAGATAATCAATTGGTTGGGGCGCCTGGGTGGCTCTGCCGGTCAAGCGTCTGACTCTTGATTTTGGCTCAGGTCATGATCTCATGGTTCGTGGAGCCCGCCTGGGATTCTGTCTTCCTCTCTCTCTGCTCCTCCCCTGCTCGGGCTCTTCCTCTCAAAATCAGTAAATAAACATTTAAAAAAAGATAATCATTAAGACTTGTAAAGTGAGTCATGAGGGGTCTTGAGTGCAAGAGCTTAGGAGGGTGTCCAGTATATAGCAGATGTTCAATAGGTTCCTTTTGTCCGCTTGACAGCTGAGAGGAAGCACTTTTTTTTTTTTTTTTTT